CAATTGGGGAAAATATAGCTCTTGCCTGAGTTATTTCCGTACCTTTTTCAAGCTGAGGTAGAGATTCTCTGCAGAAAGGGTCTTTGGTAATAGCTCTTTCGTAACAAATGCGACCTTTCAAGGGATAGAACTATATAAAAACAGTAGCTTGCAATTTGTAAAAACATTTATGAAGTTGAAAAAATTTTTATTTTATGTTCAATTATGTATCATTTAATAATGTATAATGTTCAAAGAAAACAAAAAATTTAAGTGATTGAATTAGGTATCTTTTTTGACAGTTTCCACTTATTTTGTAAAAACAGCGACTTTGAGAATTCGGATCATGTCCGGTCTTGGAGAATAGTAGATATCTTCTCAAATAGAAAAGTTTTAACAAAGAAATGGTTCAGTTAAAACTTGGAGATAGCAACAATTCCTATGAAATGAAACAAGAATCAACTTTTTCGGACAAATAGTTTTCATTTCATGAGAAAAAAACGGCGGTTTGGCGATTTTTATTTCAAATTTAATCTGGATGAGGCACGGGTTGACGTTATCCATTTGAGCTAAAACTTACCAACTTCCCAAATCTCATTTTATAGACAAATAGCAAATATAAGAGTGGTCCCGCCGACAAAAATATTTTTTCACCTCATACCACTAATACCACTTGTTCAATTTCAGGGTTGAGTTTATATTATTCTATGAACTTGATAACGAGACATCCAGCTTCACGCTTCTGATTCTGAATTCGTTGTAATATTAGTTTTTTCAGCACCTTCAAAGTGATTGGTTAGACACTGAAGTGTCCCTTCTGTGTCTATAATCTTGATAAGTATCAGTTTTACGGTTTGAAATTTGTAGATTGAAAAACAGTGTTGGTTGTTGTCGCTTTGGGAGGTCCCTATAATTATTCATTCCATGTAAACATGATACTTTCATGCTATTGATTTTATGATGATGTTATTGAAAAATATGTTTTCGATTTAAATTTGACAAATACCAAAATCTCAAAATAATTCGGAAATGTTCAGATTACCTTTTGGGCTGACACAAAATAATGTTTTCTTAGATAATGTACCGCTTAGCTCAAAGGTTAAAGTTGACTACTACATGAAATTTTTAATGCAATATAATTCCGAGTGACGAAAAAAATTGCCTCAAATTTGGACACATTTAATTAAATAACTTCTTAAAGTTGAATGGAACACCCCGTATTTATTAGTGTAATTTGACGCAAAAGTAGATTTTCTTCAAAACTATATTAGGTTACCCTATACCTATCTATTTAGGATTCTTAATTTTTCGATAAAATGACTTAAAGAATGCTTTTTTCTTTTCATAACATTACAGGGTGTTTCATTTTTGAGATGAAAAAATTACTTATGAGTAAAATAGCCTTTTGTGTAAAAGCCAGAAAAGATAGGTATAGGGAACCCTAATATAGTTTTCAAGGATATCTACTTTTGCGTCAAATTACGCCACCAAATACGGGGTGTTCCATTCAACTTCAAGAAGTTGTTTAATTAAATGTGTGTCCAAAATTTGAGGCAATTTGTTTCGCCACTCGGAATAATATTGCATTGAAAATTTCATGTGGTAGTTAACTTTAACCTTTGAAACAAGCAGTACATTTATTCACCAGCAGCTCTTTATACGTTATAGGGTGAAAACAATTTTTAAATTATGGTCTGTGTTCCATTCAACTTTAAGAAGTTGTTTAATTAAATGTGTGTCCAAATCTGAGGCAATTTTTTTCGCCACTCGGAATAATATTGCATTGAAAATTTCATGTGGTAGTTAACTTTAACCTTTGAACCAAGCAGTACATTTAATCACGAGCAGCTCTTTACACGTTATAGGGTGAAAACAATGTTTAAATTATGGTCTGTGTTTTTAAATTTCTCAGAAACGGTCAGTTTTGAGTATGGGAAATAGTAACTCACCTTTATTTTGTCTATAGTATCTAAAATATAGAAAAATATAGTGTGTTCTTCTTCGAAATGAAGGAAATCNCTGTGCCAAAAGTGTTTCCCTAACTCTCTTCATTTTTCGTAGAAATACCGAGGCGAATGTGGTGGGCCACTCTCCCTATAGGAGAAAAGGAACATTTTTTCTTATTCATAAACGATCTACGTCAACATTCCAATCATTTTCTTCGATAGTAATCGAGAGAAAAAATTCGATATGATTATCATCATTATTTCGAAGAAACTTCAACACATGTACAATTTTTCAGGAAGCTCTAGGTGATGTAGTCTATGCACAGCTGCCGGACGTCAACACAGAACTCAAGCAAAAAGGTAACAGATTATTCAATTGATTTGATACTGGATTTTAGGGTAAGATATAAGTATTGTTCAAATTTCAAATTTTCGCAGCTTTGTTAAAACTTAAGACATTCGAATTTGTTCATCTGCTTACTTACTTCTAATTTGTTTGAATGTTCAAATTGATAAACCATCCAGTGCCGTAAAAAATATTAGTCTGAATCTACAGTTTGATGAAGGTAATATGACTTTTCATCGAGATGACGCTCTCTTCCATTATGACTATATTGTTCGTCGAAATTCAGACTAAATTTTTCTACGGCTGCAGGAAGTGTTCGTAGTCATTATTTTATTAAGTTCACTTACAAAAATAAATCAAGGATACCAAAATTTGGTCAGTAAGGTCAGTAAGTAATTGTTCACCCCAATCCAACTTATAAAATAATGACTATGACCACTTCCTACAGCCGTAGAACAATTCAGTCTGAATTTCGACGAACAATATAGTCATAATGCAAGAAAGCGTCATCTCGTTGAAAATTCAAATAACCATCATACTGTAGATTCTGACTAATATTTTTCATGGCTAGTGTTATCAATTTTCATCAAGTAATGGGTCAGTCCATCCATAACTCAGTACTCAACCGGTTTGGGCACATTCATATTTTAGTCGACTGACAGAATAGAAACAGAATAGAAATATTGCGAATCAGCTTCTATTGCTGACTTTTCAGTATGCTTCGTCCAATAACTTCACTTCATGATGCCACACACGATATGTTTTCTATATAAAAAAAAAAACAAGGTTACAATGATGAATAATAGCATTATTCACATTACAGATGAATGTGGCGCACTAGAAAGTGTAAAAGCAGCTAGCGAAATTTACAGTCCAATATCTGGAAAAGTTGTAGAAAAAAATGTTGGAGTTGAAGATACCCCATCTCTCATAAACACGTCTTGTTACGATAAAGGTACGTTCTCACCTGAACTCATTCAATACATTTTATATTAACAACATTTCCATCATTAGTTCATTGTTTTTCATTCGAAATCCCAAAGTTTATCTGTTTCGGAGCTATTTTACAGGTTTGTTGACCGTGGTCTGTTTTTACTTTACTTACTTACTGAAGATGCCAACCTTGTTAGCGAAACGCGCGTCGAGTGCAAGAATATCAGTTTGGTGTTAGGGTAATTGATCTCTAGAAAAAGTTTTCAACTTTTACACCAAAGGTTCCAATCTCATCGTTAAAACCGATTTTTGTGAAATTCTTAGTGTTTCTGGGTATTTTCATCGAGATGGCTTTCTGGAGACCTTTTGAAACAAATTATAACATTACGTGTGGGGAATCTGTCAATCGACAGGGATCCGGAATTTGAAAATAAGGATTTACATGTTCAAGTTAAGCGAGTAATTTTAAATATTCATGAATGCTTGAAGAAAGAAAACTGTCACACTTCACAGAATGCTTTTGTGAATAGAATATGCTTGTTAACGAAACTATCTCGTTGGACAGTTCTTTGAGTCATTAAAATAGGGGATGACATTGACCATGCAATGAAACAAAAACAAAGAAAAAAAAAATTCGCAAACGTTGATGGTGCTACAAAAGATGTGATTCGGCGAACAATTTATGGTATATACCAAAAAAATGAAGTACCAACCTTGGAACTGATTTGGTATAAATTACTCGACTATCCTGATTACAATTACAAATCTTTAGAAAGTCTACGAGGTGTCTCATTGTCTTGTGGTTTCAAATATAAAAAATTGAACAATCGAATGGTCATAATGGAATCGACACGCATTGTTCAACTGCGACAAGAATATTTAAGGCGAATGAAAAGCTACCGAGAATCCAGCAGACATATAAACTACCTCGACGAAACTTGGTTCGACACACATGATGTTGTCAAATATGGCTGGGTAGACAAAACCAAGTATTGTGCTTTGAACACACCTTCTTCAAGGGGAAAACGTGTTATAATTTTGCAAGCCGGGAATGAAAGTGGTTTCGTACCTAACGCTTTGCTTCTATCCGCCAAAAATATAAAAGACTCGTCTGCTGATTACCACGAAGATATGACTGCGGCTTTATTCGAAACCTGATTCAGTGAGCAGCTTCTCCCAAATATTCCTCCATACTCGGTTATTGTTATGGATAACGCTTCGTATCATTCTCGGTTATTGACTACAATACCAAACAATAACACAAAAAAAGCAGTTATTGTTGATTTCATGCGAAATCATGACATGGAAATACCCGAAAAGATTCCAACGAAAAAGGTTTTATGGCGACCATAAAACAACTTCATTTGAAAAAAGAGTATATTATTGATTCGATGTGTGAAACACGTGGTCATATTCTTTTACGTTTGCCTCCATACTATTGTATGTTCAATCCAATCGAAATGGTTTGGGCCACAATGAAAGAAAGCTTGCGGAACTGTAATCAGTCACCGACTTTGAATGCTGTGGTGCTTGACAATATAAGGCGAGTGGTAAATGGAGTAGGTAATAGTGATGTGCGTGTACCACCCATGGTGGAAAAGTTCAGTTGAGATAACTTTTTCATGGGGTGATCAATTCCTGTGATTGTAAGAATAAGTAACTGAAAAACTATCACTGAAAAATAATATGCTGACGCCTATGTTGAGGCGGGAATTCCTTCTCTGTGCTGTTCCAATTGGTATTGGAAATACTATTATAATAACACTGGATTTCTCCCTTACTGTGGCAAGCCGGCATGACCGTGAGTTGTGATAGTAGAGAGGGCATCATTCCACCAAGAACTTTGGCTGTATCGTTCACGTATCTTCTGCTAATGTTCATGAAGACCTCTGTAATAGATTTTACTAATACCTAAACTGTAGCTTTTTCACTCGGTACTCTTGGTTCATTTCTTATCCTATTCATCACCAAACCTGTTTCGAAAAACTAAACACAGAATCAAATACGTATCTGTGACTCACTACATGTAGGATTACTTTCATTAAAAATAATTTCCACCCTTCATGCACATTTTGCAACCACTCTATAAATGATAATCATGGGAATTATTTTTCGAAGAGATTCCTAGTTTATCTTCCTATTGAAACGATCACTGAAGTGTACAACAACTAGAACTGAATTATTGATTTGGTGTGAATAAAGTCTGGGGAACAATTCTTTTACTTGTGATGCACTGTTTGGAACCTCTCATACTATGCAACCCAAACTGTTGATCAGAAAATAATAAATTAGGATAACTTTGGAAATAGTATTGAAAATCCTCTATTGTCGACTAGTACTATACCGATAAAATTGTTGATATCTACATTTCAGTTAATGACTTGCTTACTTCTGTGAAAGTCCAACTTCATTTTCCAAATGCTTCTTTCCTATGCATCCTACACTGCAAATAACACCAGGCAGACATTTTGTTTCCTAACAATGGAGTAATCATCATTTTTTTCCAGGGTGGCTGTTCAAAGTGCAATTGGATAACGAAACTGAATTATCGAAGCTGATGTCGGAAGTACAATACACCGAATTCCTAAAGACGGAACAAGATCATTGAGATTTAAATTCATCATACACTGATTCGAGAGAAAATCAAATCAAATTGTATTTGCTTGTTGCTTGTTAAGAGCAACTTGTGATACATTTGTGAATATTTCCCGTAATGATCCAAGAGTCATCACATTTGTTAATGTCATTGATGTTTTATAACTTTGTTTTTCTGATAGTTAATAAATAATTTTAAACAAATAATATACCACAGAGAAGCTGTGATTGTGTATCAAATGAAAAATGTTGCATAATTCATATTGTTTTATGTAATGTATGTATGTACCACGACACCCAGGCAACAAAAAAGCTGTTGAGAGTACCTGACACTGATCATCAAATCCAAATATAAATCAGTAATCATATCCGCTGATTACCGTCCACCCTCAGCTTCCTCGATGAACAGTTTCTGTGAAGTAAAGGACGCTACTGTGAATTTTTTTCTGAAAGTGGTATTTTTTGTATTGTAGAATATCTCAACGTTGAGCTGCTCTCACATAATCATGAAAGTAATCAATTACCTGAATTACTCGTTTCATTTTATTTAAATCAGTTGACAAAATCAAAAAAAGAACTGATTATAGCCAAACTTTGATTTGCTCAATGTTGATAATTGAAACTAATTTGATGTTCGATGATATATTGAGGTGCGTATTCACCAAAAAAGCGAGCACGAGCGAACAAGAGTGAACGAGTATTCTGCATCAATATTCGTCTGGTGAGTACGGGCTAGCGAGCGAGCGAACGTATGCTTGTTCACGTTCAGAAAAGATGGAGAAGAAGGCGGTACTACGAACTTGAAGATATTCATTCTGGTGTGGACGAGACATCAATATGTCGAGCAAACACGATCGAACACGAGCAAACATACACGAATGCTCACTCATGCTCGCTTTTTTGGTGCATACGCACCTTTAGATCACCTAGCACTTGTTTGTAAACTGAAGCTACCTTAATGTAATTTTTTGAGTGGAACGCATATGGAACGTCAAATTTTCTATGGCTGTGGTGCATAAATCAGGCTGAATTTGACCGGTTACATGGGTTACATTAGCTTCGAGGACCGTTGTGGATTATAGCTCATTCGCACACACCTGCGACTCGAGAAAGCTCCATTGTTCATAACTTTTGCAATTCTTTCCAGCCCCTCTTGAAATTTTTCAAAAAGTTTGCTAGAGGTCATTCCGAGTCGAATGAGCCCTGCATCATAATTTTCGGTGCCCTTGGACAGAAGTTCCAAAAAAAAGATCTTGTGACCCAGACTATATTGGGTAGACCTAGGTAAGTATGGGTAAATGCCGAATTTAAATTTATTTTACTTATCATTCGGCCTTTACCCAAAAAGCTTGGATAATACTGAGTCAAACCGGGTACATCTAGGTTTACTCCATCTTCCATCTTTACCCGTAACATATACATAATTTTCGTTTTATTCACCAATACTCGGTACTTCTTTGACACAAGAATGTGGAAACCATAAAAGTCTTGCCATAATTTTTCAGAGACACTTTTATTTGTCTTTCTGTTGTTATGGAATCACACATATCCACCTTTCGACAATGTATGTTATGAATAACATAAAATTAACCAAATGAATACTTAGATATTTTGAATGCATAAATCTAATGTAACTAGATAGTTGAGGGATTGAAAAATGATGGAAAGCTATCAATCAACAGGTCTAGAAGAACTACAGAAAACTGTCTATGAATATTATGCTTAGAAAACCATTTCGGTGCCTAATAATGATAATAATACTAATAATAATAATAAACAGCTTCATTTCAGAGTAAATTACAAACTTTTATTGGCGCCCAACAAGGAGGTACAGATTTTTTTGTTATGAATATTTTTAAATGAATGTTCCAGTGGGATATACGTTCAAATTAAGGAAAAGTCTAACGGGGTCAAATCGCACGATCTCGGTGGCCAGTTCACATCGCCTACACAAAATCGCTCCCGCAGAATATCCAATGTGACAGATGTGTGGCACGTAGCGTTGTCCTGTTGAGACCACATGTCGTTGGTGTCAAGATCATCCAATTCAGACCAGAAGAAGTTGGTGATCATCGACCTATAGTGCTCACCGTTGGAAGTGATGGCCTGGCCAACGTCGTTCTCAAAGAAATGTGGATAGATGACGTCGCTAGGCCAAAATCCACAGAAAGCAATGAATTTTTAGGGATGCTGTATATTGGTGTCGTCCCAAATTGGACAATTTTGTTTGTTCACGTACCCATTCATTCATAAATGGGCCTCATTGCTGAAGATGATTTTTCGATTAAAATTAGGGTCAGTTGCCAACTGCTCCAGAGCCCATTCATCGAATACACGTCATTTATGGTCGTGTACCTTGAGTTTCTGGCCGTTATCAGTAGTCAAAGTTCGGAAGTCTATGTTGGAAGACCCTATAGATCTCTTCTCTGTCAACTGTACCCAAAAAGCTTGGATAATACTGAGTCAAACCGGGTACATCTAGGTTTACTCCATCTTCCATCTTTACCCGTAACATATACATAATTTTCGTTTTATTCACCAATACTCGGTACTCCTTTGACACAAGAATGTGGAAACCATAAAAGTCTTGCCATAATTTTTCAGAGACACTTTTATTTGTCTTTCTGTTGTTATGGAATCACACATATCCACCTTTCGACCAAATCGGACAATTTTGTTTGTTCACGTACCCATTCATTCATAAATGGGCCTCATTGCTGAAGATGATTTTTCGATAAAAATTAGGGTCAGTTGCCAACTGCTCCAGAGCCCATTCATCGAACACACGTCATTTATGGTCGTGTACCTTGAGTTTCTGGCCGTTATCAGTTGTCAAAGTTCGGAAGTATATGTTGGAAGACCCTATAGATCTCTCCTCTGTCAACTGGAATTTGATTTTCCAATACAATGATTTTGATATGCTCCCATTTTTAACTGATAACCTGATTATTATATAAAATAATCTCTTCTCCGAGCTGTAAGAAACACCAAGCCACCATCACCATCTATAACTTTCAACATTAACAGATGACATCGTGGTAATATCACAAAGACTTAGCCAACTATACTAATAGGACTAAAATCTGCCTATCTAAATCTTGTAATGGAACTTTACAATTTCCGGTATACTTGAAAGTCGATCTGAAGTACTTCAAGATGGCAGCACACCTGATATTGCAACATACCTAAAAAAACGCATAGCTCAAAGGAATATTTCACTATACTGTACTTTTAATAAAACTAAATACCAAATCGATATGTTGGATCAATATGTCACCCCGAAATACGAATCAAACTTCAATTTCAACCTGACAGTTTCTGCAACGAATCCGAAATGTCTGAAGATGATCAGCAGTAATTTTGGAATGAATGGTTTTAAGTTAGCATTTTAGATTTAACCTAACCCTAGCTATCAGATATAATAAATAAGTATATCTTCAATTTCGCACTCAGATCGAAAACATATATAGTACTCGATGGAAACATGCAAAAGTGAGACCCCTGGAAAAATGATCCTGCCGATTAGCTTCTTATCCAAACTTTCTGATGGTTATGAAATATGATTATGATTATGATTTTAAGCTTATGCAGACAATGTAATCCCATTACTGATGTGAAATCTGGGTTTCGACAACTTTACGCTTGAGGAAGCTATTGTATAGCGAAAGTTTACGCTTGAGGAAGCTATTGTATAGCGAAACACGTATCGTGGTTTTTTAAAAACCCTCTATAGTGAAAATCATACAATAAACTGTATCAATTATTTTCAATCCATTGAATATTTTGTCTTATCGAACCCAATCTGTCATCGTAGATAAGAGCAGAATTACACATGAAAATTCAAATTGAATTAGCTGCTCAGCTATTGCCATCTGATTGAATGCCAAAACTACCACCTGCAAGTGATTCGACAATTCCATCTCGAATGTTCTGGAGATATTTGTATTTCACAGATTTCACTTTTTAGTCTTTTTTTTCAAAAAAATCAAGAGGTGATGAATTTGGATCCTGTGGAGGCCATTCACTCTAACCTATCTTTCAAATCCATTGGTGTGGAAATTTGTTCAGTCTACGCGACTTTGAATTACATTTTCCAAAGCTTCAGTCCCATTTCTTCATAAGACTTTTACATGTAATTATCATAAGTAAACACAAACTTTCAGAGTGCCAGTAAGTCAGTCACGAATGTCTTGAGGTAGTTCGTGATAACAGTTTTCAGTTTAGTTTCCATTTTGCCACCATGTGTACATAATTTATCAGTTTGCGTGCATTATAAATGATTGTTTTCGAATTTTCGGGAAGAAAATGTTCAATTTTTCTGACGGCTTGTTATTTCAATTATTCTGAATGCTTCAACCTTGTCCTTCAACATCAACAATTGATCTTTCTCAGATATGCCTATTTCAAAATAAATAGGTATACAATATCAGATTGCGTGTACATTAATTTTACTTGAAATTATAATATTATCCATCTCGTAAGTTAACATTTGAATGAGGTTAACAATCCTATGAATTCATCAATGACATTTACGAGTTAATTCATTAGTTGCTCATTTAAAATTTTTGTCTTTTGACCATCGACATAACCATCTTCAAAACCTATTCTAAATTTTATAAATGTTTGAATATACGAATTGTAGTGAATTTGATCTATTATGGCTTTTCAATTTCGATCATTTTGGGATTATCGCAGAAAATCACGAATACCATTCACCGATGTTTTTGTTCGATACAAACTTGAAGGAAATGAGTATCTGAAAGATAATTTCTCCAACTGTAATTTACGTAATAAGTCCGGAAAAAAACTGTTTTTTTTTTGGACAAATACGAGTAGACAAAATTCTGGCACAAGTCGAAGGAGGGGCCTGGAGGTATGCGTGTCCAAAACACTGTTTTCGGGTGCATGGGTGCAATGCTGATAATAAATGTACATATAAGCACGTGCGCATGCTGCAAAGGGTCATATTAATCTATAATCCTAGCACCATGTATTCAAGTTACTTAATTGGATATGAAATAATGCTGTATTACTCAAAATCGCTTTGTGAATAAGCCATTATTTATCGAGGATGAAACATGATTATTGTGAGTTATCTCTAAGAGATAGACATATACTAGGTAGGTAGGTAGGTCTAAAATGAATGAGTCTATTCGACCATCCACCGCAACCCGCAAGGGTTTATTGTAGCTCACACCTATTCACACTCGACTAAATAGACTCAGCTTCTTAACGAAGCCGATTAGTTTGTATGGTGAGTGGTCTTTCAGGTCAGATACTAAGAGTACCGAACTCTAAGAACTTGATTCGGTCCCCAGCGGGGCAGGCTCAAAGTATATGCTCTGCTGTTTCATCATTTTCCAGACAGAGGCGACACACACTATCTTCTGACAGTCCAAGTCTCTGCATCTGATAATTCAAATGACAGTGACCTGTAAGAAAGCCTGTTAGACATCGTAGTTCATCCCTATACTGTAGTCCAACAACTATTTGGTATCAAGCTTCGAAGGGTGAATACACGCTTTGGAGTGAGCCAATCCTGGAAGATTCTACCAGAAGTCCATAAATCTTCTTTCCATTCATCCATCTTTTTTGGCAGAGCCTAAGCGATGCCAATGACAGGTTCTGGTCCGATGAAGCTGCTTGCAGCATCCTCCTTTGAAAAAGAGTCAGCAGCCTCATTGCTGGCCAGTATGGCCAGTAATCCAGAAAAGACAATCTGTTAAGTTTTTAGACGTTGCTTGGTAACAGCCAACAGCATCCAACGCCGCTTGACTGTCCGAGAATATTTTTATTGACTTGTGAGTGAGGGAAGATTTATCCAATCCCTCCGCACACAATTCAATAGCGCAAATTTCTGCTTGAAATACAGTGGCATAAGTTCCTAGGCAGGTAGATAACTCTGCGACTGAAAACACCTGCACCAGAACCGGAAGGTGTTTTTGATCCATCTGTGAACCAAAAACTATCTGCATTTCCACATTGTGGAATTGGCCGCGGTGGTAGTGCGCCCGACTCACGATCGGAAGACCGTGAGTTCAATTCCTGCCTCGACCAGATATTTTTTTCGAGAGAATTTATCTGGTTGAAGCTAGGATGATTCTGTAACCGTGTTAGAAATCACACGTTGAAAGGTAAGACCTCGTTAATCCTTAGCTCGTACAAGTTTCTCAACGCCTGAGAGTTGTCGTTCATATGGGGGCGACAGCTGATTAACGGAAAAACATATTTTTAAACAGATTTCAAACTTAATACTTCCTTCTCCCGGAAGATCCAATCCTCTCTACTCGGAAATAGTACTTCATAAGGCAGTTCCTAGTTGACAGTTGGAGGCATGAAGTCACAGGTCATTTCCAGAATGCTGTGACTTCCAAGTTAACTAACAGTCTGTTGCACTCTGCATTGAATTGATTTGTGTAATTAGCAATGTGTACAAGTCTGTATGCAGTACATCAAGCCTCTCTCTCCAGAAAAATGTGAAGAGGAGGTAGATCTAGAAGGATCTCTATGGCCACTGACGGTGTGGTACTGATTCCCAAGTGAACGTTCCAGGCGAGTCTATTATCAAGGACGATGCCAAGGTATTTCACCTCCGTTCCAAATGGAATGACCACACATTGAGGGAAAGTGGCGTTAGATCGTCCAATTTTCTCCTCTTGGTGAAGGGGATTAACACAGTTTTGCTGGGGTTGACAGACATTTGCTCCCTCAGGCACCAACTGTGAACAACGTCTAACGCCCTTTGGAGGATATAACAAGCTACCCTTCACGACGTGGACCTTGTCAGGATGACAAGCTCATCTGCATAAGCTTGCAGATCGATTTTTCTTCTGTCGAGGGCATCAAGCAGACTATCCACCAGTAGCGACCACAGAAGGGAAGATAGTACCCCAGCTTGAGGGCAGCCCCTCGTGACCCTGAACCTGATAGCCTCGTCTTGGAGAGCCGTAGTTGCAGTTCTGTTTACTAGCATGGCATAGATCTAACCAGTTACGGTCGATTCTATACTCTTCCTAGCCAGAGACAATCCTATAGATTTAGGTAGTGCATTGTCAAACGCTCCTTCAATATCAAGAAATACAGCAAGCGCAATCTCCTTATTGTCAAGGGATGGGGAGATTTCCTCAACGAGGAACATAGACATATACTATCGCGAATTTTTTTGTAATCCTTTTTCAAGTACGACATCACATTAGAAACATCTGAAATCAACAGTGTCTCTTTACTGTATTATGCATATAAACCTTTCTCTTGAATGACTTATATCTATAAAAAAAAACGTGTGCGTCTCAGGACGCCCGACAGAAGTGACCTACCTACAAGTTGAACTACCTATTTAATATTGAAATTGTTCAACTTCAGAAAAGCTTGTGTATATTAATATAATAATGTAAGGAAAGGTTTTGTGTATGTACATATATTATAGCTACCATATGCCAATTGTTACTTTTGTAGGATTAAATAAAGATACTAGTAATGCACATACACAAAATTAGTATCATCATTTTTATAATACTGTCAAAAGTCTATCGCACACTGAACACTGAGTATCTATTCGACGAGAGTGGAGGAGCCTGCTTTACGCTGAGGTATGTGTGAGAGAAAGGGAAGCCAAACATTGTAACGCGTTAGGTAACGAAGCGGTTCACCCTCCCATAAGAAGGTATCACTTCAAAAAACCGCATCAAATTCCGTTACGGAATTTCAAATATCTAAGCAAATTAAGGGACAGACAGCGGGAGGCAACTTTGTTTTATACTATGTATCAATTGAAATTCGAACAGAAAATAAGTATACTAACAGAAACATTATAATTCTTATTTATATCAAAATTCGAGCTATTGCTAATATCGAAGGGATTCTATTCGTTTGAAATGCTTGGTGTATTTGAATACCTCATATTGAAGTCAAAACAAGAATGTGAAGTTTCGTTTCACATTGTTTGTTTTGATCTGATAATTTCTTTATGTGAGTCAATTGTACATGCATCCCTTAGCTAGACTTTAGGTAGACTTTCAGCCATCGTATCTCTTCAAATTTGCGATGTTTCCACCATCATCAGCAAATAATGTCGCTGAAGTTCAACAAATGCTGTGGCTTATGTAATTTTTAGTATTGGGAGAATTCAAAAATTCTGCGAATCATAATCCAAGATTTACAAAACTGTAGGTACCAAGAGACTGAATCGAACATTTTTCTTTTTACAATTCACGAATAAAATGTTATGTGGAGTATGGAATGGCCCTAAAGATAAATATTGCCTAAACAACCGCAGGTTTTCTTGCCCAATTGTAACAAAAGTTCTCGCAATATTTCTTTTGTAATCTGTTATTTTCACAAGCAACACGTCTTTCTTATCGTATATTGGATCAACCGACATTTTTCTTAGTTCTTTCTCTCTATACAGCCACCGGCTAACCGAATAATTGTTGCTACCTGATAATGAGGATATCAAGTAGATACTTTTGTATCCTACAATTGTGATATTTTCTTTAAATTACCGTCAGCATTAGAAAGTTGTGAAATTCCGAGTATATCACGAGATATCAGGAAAAACAGAAATTCGGAAAATGGATTTATCCTTTTCTGGCTTTATTTTTCGAAGGATTTTTCCCTGCTACATAATGGTGTTTTCAGATTTGCTATCCGAAGTTTCGTCTTATCGTCGTATCATAATAGGCTTTGACTTTGACGTTTCTAAATTTGACTTTCAATTTGTTACATTCAATGACATTTTATTATTGAACAATTCATTGAATTTTTGGCAAAAAATGGTTTTTACGAATGAAGAAAAAAGAGAAACGATACAAATTCATTACAAATACGATAGAAACAGTGTTAGGACATCGGAAATGTATTTAAACTTGTATCCCGAAAGACGACAACCACATCCAACTATGTTCAAATTATTGGATCAAAATCTCACCGAGTTTGGTTCGTTTGAAAAGCCAATGAAAAAATACGACAATCAAAATTTGATAAATGAGGTGTGTATGAGGTAAATTAGACATTGTGTCCTTTTCAATGAAAATAAGACTTCGAACAAATATCAATAATTAACTGAAATGTTAGGACAAAAGTAAATCACAGCAAATGCTCACAATGCTGGCCTTGTTCATGATAACATAAGTGTGCCCTTCTTCGAATGTTATTCACTGCACGATACATTTCCCTACTTCTCAATCTTCAGAACTCTCAAACAATGGTGTGTTGAAGGTCCTCAATATTTTGATATTCCCTCTGACCAGAAACTCTATTGTTCAGTGTACCCTATGAAAATGTATCTATAAATCTTAAATCTGGAGACCTCGCTGGCCACCTCACCGGCTCATTATTTCCTATCCATTTATCACCAAACCTTTCAGTCAGATAATTAGATNGAAATTCCAATGGTGAGGATCGAATTTGAAACACCCTGTATATTTCGTGAAAATTTCAGTTTGTTCTTTGTTTCTGAAAAATATCGCCTCGTTCATGCCTTGTAAGTAAGGAAATGTTTTTGAGAAAGACAAAAGGTATAATGACTCAGCCACACTTTCTGTGATGACCTCGTAATACACAAATCCTTTTCACTACTTGACACTGTCTCAGTAAGTGAATGAAAGCTTTCTATAGTTGACAACTGTCACTTCTCCGTGTTAACCAGAAAACCTATGGAGATTGCATTCATTTTCCGAAGTCTATTTCACAACCTCGAAGATAAATGTTATCTCAAACATCATCCGATCCATACTTTGGTCACCTTCAGCCTGCGGCCCACGTGAATCGAACAGAGTTCCTATCGAAATAACGTACTTATCAGATCGCGAAAAATCGTTACTGGGAACTACGGAGTGCGCAAGCCATGAGTACATGTTAATTCACGGAACCCATTACGCGGAGACAGTTCATATAGTGTAGTTGGCAGGAAATATTCAACTAACCGCGCTCTCGCGATCTCCAAAAACAGAAAATGCCTTCCGAAAAATCGGTGTACCAGCCGCATCCAGACATCGCCAAAAGCGCGTATGTGTCGTCCTTCGCCCAGTATAAGGACATGCATCGGAAGTCCTTGGACAACCCTGAGGAGTTCTGGGGAGACATCGCCAGACAATTTCATTGGGAGAATCCGATCGACAGCAATAATTTTTTCAAGTTCAATTTTGATATAACGAAAGGTCCGATTTTCACCAAATGGATGGATGGTGCCACGACCAATGTTTCCTACAATCTGTTGGATAGGAACATTAGGAAAGGCTACGGGGATAAAATTGCATTTTACTGGTAAGTTTTCGATTATACTGTTTCCTACAAGTGAAAAATAAACAAATGCACAAACAAAATTTTCCGTTATGTTTAGCCGCAGCTTGTATAGGCGGGTTTGCAATACTTTACCAGGTCCATCCTATTTTTGTATTGCAAACGGGTAACAAACAAAATATTTTATGACAGTTCAGGTCGTTTTACTACCTACAGTAGCGTGCGTTTTGGTATTCATTTGAACATACTTGTTTGAACTAATTTATTTATTTATTTATTTGTATCCAAACAGACTTTCTGGTCTAACTACATGGTTTGCTCTGGGGCGCCGTGGCGCTCTGGGGCGCCGTGGAACCTTTACTGGGCGCCGTAGGCCACAGGTGAGTCTCAAGGTACAACGTTTTACAATATAAATAACTGAGAGTAAAGGTAATAGGTCGGTACCTATTAATAAAAATCCTCTGATAATATGATAATATCGGTAATTGCAAAATGCAATTCGTTCAGACAGCCACCAACCTACTTTTATTAATTAAATATCTAGTGTAGTCGTTACGTTCTGGCGCCGCGATAACCTTAAAAAACATAAGGGAGCCGTGAATTCGAAAAATTTGGGAAACACTGATCTATACCTTCACTATGCCATAATATAGTGGTGTCGTCGTCGAAGAGATTGAATGTTCCAGACCAAATCGTTAATATACAACGGGAACAATATGGGACCGAGAACCGATCCCTGTAGTATACATGAATTTATTTCAATACTGTTTGAATATTCAATTGTCTTTAAAATCTGACTGCGAGCCTTGATATACGACTCAAACCGTAGTGTTATCCCTCTACATCCATAGGTATTCAGCTTACGTAGCAGTAGTTTATGATTAACGCTGACAAACGCTTCCGTAAGGTCAGAAAACACTGCTGCCTCAGCATATCCAGCATTCATATTGAATACTCCTGCTATGGAATCCAAATTGATTTCTACTTATAATGTTATGGCGAAGGAGAAATTCATCGAGCCTTTTCTGAACTTTACTTTCTTAACCTTCATATAAAGGACCACTATCGACAACTTTAGAAAGGATGAAAACCTGTCATTTCTGAATGAAAGATTGATCAGTCATACAAGAGTTTTGAGCGCTTCCTTTGGACAATTTTCGATAATTACAATAGACTGCTGACTGACATTGGAAGTCACATCATTCTAAGAATGACCTCTGACGTTATGCCTCCAACTGCCAATTACCAACTGCCTTATACACTACTCGAGTAGAGAACACTGGATCCTCCGGGAGAAGGAAATTGTAAGAGCAGATAGTCGTTGGTTCGCAGATGGATCAAAAACACCTTCAGGTTTTGGTGCAGATGTTTTCAGTTGCAGACCCAGGGCAGAGATATCAACCTGCATAGGGACCTATGCGACTGTATTTCAAGTAGAAATTTATGCTATTGAATTTTGTGCGGAGAGATTGGTAAAATCTAACCTCATACATGAGTCAATAAAAATATTCCTGAACAGTCAAGCGACTTTGAAAGCTCTTGGATACTACCGAGCAACGTCTAAATGGGTAACTAATTGCCAAAAACGAGTCTCCTCAATAGGAAGATTCAATGAATTGTCTCTGATCTGAAGTCTGCTGACTCCCTTGCAAAGGAGGGCCATACAAGCAGCTTCATTGGACCAGAACCTGTCATTGGCATCTTTTAAGGATCTGCCAAACAAACATTGAACATCTGGATTGCAAGAAGATTTATAGACGTTTGTCATAATCTTCCAGGATTGGCTCACTCCAAGAAGTTCATTCACATTTTGGAATTCCAAAAATCCACGGCCTTCAAACCCGGAAAATAGTGACTCTGATATGTTAGCAAGCTTCCACCTCGATGATTTTTGGAATACTAAGCATGGCTTCACCTTCTACTAAACGTTTTTTATGTTAAACTCATTTGATAATGATGTTTTATCTGTCCTGATTATTCTGAATACTTATGAAGAAAATGTTAATTTGTGATAAGAATACAAAAAAGTGATATTCTCAATGAAATTTTGTTTGTTACTTTGGAGTGACGAATTCACAACCGGTATTGAGAGAAATGTAACATACTTCATTTTCTCAATGTTAAAATTCAATATTTTTTTGAATTATATGTATCTCATTGAAAAAATTATATGTAGCCTATTTGAATCGATTCTAATGGTTTGACTTTTGCAAACCCATGTAATGATGACTTTCTAGCATTCAAAAATTTCAAACGATATCATTTAAGGCAGAATAAATATTCGCAAATTATTGCAGAATACCGAGCGATGGATCATTATTGGCTCGCATTCACTTTCAACAATTAGAACGGGTTAACAACTTGCAGTAAATTGTTCGGATATCATTAATGATCTACTCTTGTAGAACACTAATGTTTTGTCCAAAGTCCACATATAAAAAACAATTCAGTAAAGTAACAAAAAACAAAGTTTAAACTTCCATTGGATACTTTTTATAACTCACTCCATAACATCACAAATATAATTATTGAAATGAAAAACTCAAAAGAACGTACCATTAGATTATGACCTTGGATGTGCCTGTGCTTATATCAATTCACTCAAAAAATATTTTAGGACCTCTTCTGCCAATTCAGCGACCAGGAAATGATCATTCAAAAATTGTCGCACTGGAGCTGCATAATGAGGAGGTGCACCGTCCTGCTGAAAAACTATTTCGTTTTCGAATACATTTATATCCTTCTCAATTGCCTTATTGATACACGGTATTATTCGATTTTCCAACATATCCAAATATTTATCACTAGTCAAATTATCATCTATAAAATATAGATCCTATGATGTGGTCACCTAAAATTCCTGCCCAAACATTCAGTTCTTGAGGTCGTTGGTTATGAACTTGACGGTATAAATAAGGATTTGTATCACTCCAATATCGACAATTTTGCTGATTCACCTCTCCATTCACACTAAACGTTCATTTATTCGTTCAATTTATGAACTAGTCTTATTCTATATGGATGAAATTTGTACTAATAAAAGATCTTAAAAACATTTGTACGACTCATTCCTGATTCTCGAGATAATTTTCCATTAGTCCAGCGTGCTTTTTATTGTTAGCAGATTCAGTTTCCATAAATTTGTTCAATAATTCCGAAACATATTTGTGTCGTACATTTCTTCCTGGATGATTAACATTGAACATACGAGCAGCAGCTCTAGTACTATTTCAATTCTGGTACTACAAACTCACTATATCAATCCGATCTCGAAGCGTATGAACCATTGCTTCTCAAGAATTCATAAAAACAGAAACACCAATTGTAACTTCACCTGGTAGGTAATCGTTTTTGTAGAATGTGACAAATAAAAAATGAACAAAAACACATATGAAACCTAGGTAACAGATAGTACAGAAGTTATTTCACGGTAGCTCGTTTTCAACTCAAATACTTTTTTAGCTTCCAAACTATGAGCTTCAGACCATAATGTATTCTACTTTGTTGGAATCTGTTCATCATGGAACATCTGATAATGCAAAACAATTGATTCATTTAAAAATAAATGGTGACATGCTCTGGGGGTGCGATAGGGAAAGTTAGATCAAATGTGTCCCCCTGTATACTATTGATGAGGTGTTTTTTTAGTTTTTCCTGAAAATCATTGTTCCGAAAGTTAATCAGGGTGGCTCGTTTTCAACTCAAATAATTTATAGCTCCCGCACCATAAGTTTCAGAACATATATTTTATACTTTGTTGGAATCTGCTCATCATCTTGTATCTGATAATGCCAAACATTATAGGGTGATCCATTCAAAAATGACATGCTCTGTGGGTGCGATCGGGGAAGTAACATCAAATGTGATTATGTCAAAATGTGTAGCCCTGTATACTTTGATTGACGTGTTTTTTTCATTTTTCCTGCAAATCATTGAACCAAAAGTCATTCGGGTGACTCGTTCTAAATGTAGAATCTGTTCATACCAATGAGGAAGACTGCTGCCAGAAACGACAGCAGTGAAGGCCGGTATGTGTTCCGATTGGTTTATTCTGCTTTGAAACCATTGAATTTGTCCAAGTCAAAAAACACATTCTTGTTGATACTAAATTCTGAAAAAACAAAATAAATTGTTTTCTGTACTTGTTTCCATAGGTCCTTGATGATAACATAGTTTCATATCATCTTTGATATAATTTGGCTTGCCTTCTGTAACTATTCTGAGCCTATTACGACTTTGTGAAAACAGTTTCCCAGTTTTTTCTGGACGGCCCCTTCATAAATGTTATGTGTGTATTTTTGGATAAATTTTCCTGGTACTCGTTATGTTTTTCGAGTATTCTTACCCATCTGTGGCACATATAGAGTCAGCCTATATTTATTTGCTAGTTCTTTCAGTTCTCTCTGGCATTCCAGGAAAGGTCTTTCTTGGGTTCTTGAACACCGCAATAGAAGCCCGATTGTCCAAAAGAATATTGACGTACTCATTTTTTAAAGCCTCAAAACAGTATATCTTCCACATTACAAAATTTCAACACCTTGAAATTGTCAAAGAAACATATATATCATCCATGTTACAATAAAAATTTCATTCCTCGCAGCGGGGTTCTTATGAATAGTTAATAATGGTACTATTCCTACGAAGTTCAACTAGTCCACCAGCTAAACGAGTATAATAATGATCTTCAAAATGTGAAATAATGAAGAAGAGGTGCCTGTGGCAACACCTATTCTGAATGTCATAATCACCATGTGGTGTGAGAATGAATCCAACACCCGATCTTTCAAGTGGTTTACTAACACCACCTCTTCTCCGCCCAAATTTATTAATTGTGGTGTGCATAGTTAGATCGTCTGTGAGTAACTGAGTCAGTTTCACACTTGTTCAGATGAATCACTTTTTGAAGAATTCACTTCCTTTAGGATGGAGAAGTCAAATAACCCGTTTTTTTTGAGTATCCTGATTACTGTGGTCGAATACATTTCCGTTGGATGATCTGAGCCAACACTCAATATCCAGTTATCCTTCTAACAGGAATTATTGAGGACCAAGATCTGATCTGTATTTTTAGACTTCATTGCAAATGCGAATCTACTTGAACATTTCAAGAAATATTCAGTTCCAAAAATATTTCAGTCTGATGTGCGATTTGTTATTGATGATCTCATTTCCTGAACTGAAATCATCATTGGTGATTGATGGTGAGAATGTTGATCTTTTTTTGCTGGCAAGCATTCTATTCTTTTCTGAGTTCTGAGTTGATGAGTTTTTCAAACTGCCTCTGAGTGTATCATACCAAAGAAATGTCGTCAGCAAATGAAAGAGTTTGCTTGCAAAATCATAGTTGTGAAATCATTCCTTTATATTTTGTTTTCCGTAATGATATACCTGCTATCGCTCCTTATACTTTCTTCAAAAATTGTTCGCCTTTCTTCAAGGTCGAAACTTGCATGATACATGTATACTTCCGTTACAATCAGTTATTTCCTCAATGTCAAATTATTCATGACAATTATTCAATCGATGAAATCGGGGTGCCGCATGATAAAACAAACAATGAATGATCGATATTTACTTTCACATAAGTCCACTAAGACAAAGGTTATTCAAACTCGTGTTTGAATATCCTTCATTTGAGTGTCATTGACAACGTTCAGCTTCAAGTAATAAGTTGATTCAGAACTTTTGTCCGTTTCAATGTCATGTGTTTTTGTAGCTCCCTATATCAATGCATAGTTATTCTACTGTGTCGTTGAATATACTGATCGAAAGAGAGTTTATAGCAGGGGAGCCCACGATGCAAAATGGGGATTAACTCGAGCGTCATTGAGGTTGCAAAGCTCAGATGATAAGAAGAAAAAAATGTTATATAATATATACCTTTTCATCGGTGGGAGAAGCGACTATAGATTAGGGTTGAAAGTGAAAAGAAAAAAATTTAATCGAACGCGTCAGATTTTCGAAGGGGGGTTAAGTGCAACAAAAAAAAGCTCTCATTATTATAATGTGCAAAAAACAATCGCCATTTTGAAATACTCAAGCGTGTCAGATTAAGATATACATGGTTCATCTTTATGTTTCAGACGTGCTGTCTCATAATCTGACAATTATCCAGAGGGATTCGCTTAATCTGACAAAAACAATTTTTTTTCAAATTTTTTTCAATTCATTGAACTTAAATAATTGAGAAGCTCTGGAAATAGCATGCAAATAAATAAGTGTATGTTTTTTAATTAGAATACTTGTATTTGTAAGGAAATATTTTTTTTTTAAATGCTCAAAAAAAATTGATTTTTCATAATCAATCGATTAATTAATGGAGAAAAGAGAAATAAAGTCGAAATGACTTTATTTTTTTACAACTTTGCTGCCCTCCCCTTTCTTTACGTCACTCTCAAATTGTCAGATTACTGGAATATACACTTTTTTCAGTGGCATACATTTTCAAGTCAAAAATATTCATTCAAATCTAACTCGAGACGCCACTGGACTTAATAAATTGAATCACGTTCGGGCTAAATTAGCTCCTCAATGTAATAAATACCTTCGCCAAATTACAGCAAAATTAGGTGAAGGATATTTACGAATAACTTTTTTTTTATTTTTATTCTAACACCCTGTATCTTGAGAACAAAGGATTTGCGGATCCATGTTTATATGAACATTTCATCTTAATATTACTTAAAGAATCGTCTGTTGAATTCATGGTACATACTTAATTAACACCCTGTATGGTTTACTTGAACTATAATAACGAACGCACTGTTCGACGTTGGTTTGCGAAATTCAGGGAGATTTTAGCCTTGTAGATGAGTAAACCAAGACTCTGATGGAGACCCATCACGAACGCTGCGGTGCGAAGTTTGTTCTTTTTTGCTTTTGCGCAACCAAAACAATCCTTTTTTGGATCGGATCGTCACATGTGATGAAAAGTGGATCCTCTGCGACAACAGGAGACGTTCAGGACAGTGGTTGGACACCGATGAGCCACCCAGGCACTTTCCAAAGGCGAAAACTCATCAAAAAAGTCCATGATTTCTGTTTGATGGTCAGCTGCTGATGTGATTCTTTGCAACTTTCTGCAACCGGGCCAAACCATCTCAGCGGAGTCCTATTGTGAGGAAATGGACGGAATGTACCGAAAATTGCGTCAGCAGCAGCCGGCACTGGTCACTGGTCCTCCTCGACAACGCTCTTCCGTACGTTCCACAAATCACCATCCGATAATCAAATCAATTGAGCTTCATAGCTGTGCCTTACCCACCATACTCCCTAAACCTCTCCCCAACGGACTACCATATTTTCAAGCACTTTGATGAGTTTCTCATCTATAGAACCTTCCCTAATCAGGACCAGGTGAAAGCGGTCTTCGTCGACTTTATCGAATCCCAAGGGTTCAATATTCATGCTGGTGAAATTTATTGNTACATCAAATGTGAATATGTCAAAATGTGTCCCCCTGTATACTATGGTTGACGTTTTTTTTCATTTTTCCTGCAAATCATTGAACCAAAAGTCATTCGGGTGACTCGTTCTAAATGGAATGCACTGTATAGTAGTGAAAAGGCAATCAGTAAGATGATAAGAGTAATAAAACATATATTGTTAACAATAGGTTGATATAGATGCTACTGAATAGAAAATGAGTTACTGCTCATAATCTTCAACACTTTGGTCTCGCTACTCAATTCCAATGAGCAAGCCTCCTTTCAGTTGTGAGAACACATTGGACTGAAATATCTATACAGAATTTGAATCTGGATAATACTGAGATATGTTGAAGAGTAAAGAACGCAAAATGATAGATAACCGTGAGATATTTAATCATATATATAAAGATGGTTGTTTGTTGGTTGGTTGGTTAGTTGGTTGGTGTAGCAGCGATACAGCAACATAGTACTAGTCATATTATAGAAATAGAATCGAATATAAATTCTTCGAGACACGAAACATCTAAAGTATTCCCAGTCCAGGTAGGACTCCGTGATGAAATGATAATAAGATATTTTGGTTGGCAATGGGGAGAATCTGTTCATACCAATGAGGAAGACTGCTGCCAGAAACGACAGCAGTGAAGGCCGGTATGTGTTCCGATTGGTTTATTCTGCTTTGAAACCATTTAAGGCGTCAAGTCGGGTGATCTAGGTGGCCAATAATGTTCCCAGTTACGTCCAATAACGTGTTATGTATACATAACAATAACTCCATGATGAGTTTGTTATGTATACATGAATTGATGACAATTAACCGAACTTGTTTTTTAAAATAACGTTAACTTTATCCCAGTTGCCGTAGACACAACTTTTTCAAGTAACTTTTTGTCAAATTCAATCTAGAAGTACACTTTTTCAATTTTTCTCAAAATAAAAGTTGAATTTGACAAACACTGAACGTCAGTGGGTGGCAGTTGGCCGCATCATTTTGAGTTAAATTTAAAGCACAAAAAAGTGCCGAAGTTAAACTTCATTGAAACTTTTCCCAAATTGTGACTTCAAACTCGAAATTCCGACTGAAACTCGAAATTCCCGTTTGAAACTGAATATTGGTGTACCGCAAGGTACGGTATGAGGACCAGTACTGTTTTTAGTGTACGTGAATAGTATTTGCAAAACCATTTCCAAGGATATAATATATGTGACGCGGATGATACGGCAACACATGGAATGAGACCAATCTCTTAGTTGAATATCATTTACAACTAATTGCATGGATTATGGCTTAGTAATAACAAAACTCTATTCCAGTAGTTCATCACATCATTCAAATTTTTTCGAATAACTAATTTTGTAATTGTAATTTTGTAATGTTATCCAGAACAGTGCTGATGATACTAATGTCTCATTCCGAAACTTCGAATGCCGCCATCGAGGATGATGGTGTTTTATGCAAATGAAATTTTATATTGTGACTCAAATATCATATTATGTAGCGTTCTTGTGTATGATATTTGATTCTCTTCCAAACAAATGTTTGGAATACAAACTGAATGAGAAAAAGAAATTTCTGTATAATTCGAAATTTAATAAAGTTTTCAACGTTAGTTACCATACTTTTATTTCCAGGGAAGGAAACCATCCTGATGATTACAGTCGCTTGACTTACAAAAAGCTGTTGGAAGAAGTATGCCGCTTCGCTAATGTTCTGAAAAGTAAAGGTGTGCAAAAAGGAGATAGAGTTGCCATATACATGCCCATGATCCTGGAAGCTGTGATAACGTTCCTGGCCTGCGCCAGGATAGGAGCCATACATTCTGTTGTGGTAAGATATTTTGTTATGTTTCTGGTTTGTGATGCATTGTTTGAACTCTTTGGTGTGGTAATGAATATTACTGGAGTTTTTTCTTAACACTAAACCGTTATTTTAACACTTCGACACGTGTTTCGATCACCAAGTGATCATCTTCAAGAGGCAGATCAAACTTCCCTATTATTTTTCTGATTGATTCAGCCGTCACTCAATAAAGATCCATAGTAATTTCAAAAACTACACCTCACGATTTGATCTTCACAAACTTTATTTTGAAAAATATATCACAACATGTTTCGTTAATACAGTAGCTTTTTCAAGTGATTCATCAATAAATAAAGTGTATTAAGTGATTTATCAATAAATCACTTGAAAAATCTACTGTGCTAGAGAAACTTGTTGTGATATATTGTTCCATAATCTTCGCGAGATATTTTGATTCCCATCTTTGGGCATTTAACTGCAAGTTTCCTACCTTTGTTTCAGTTTGCAGGATTTTCATCTGATTCCCTGGCCGAAAGAATTGCTGATTGCGAAGCCCGTGTTTTGGTAACGGCAGATGGGGCTTGGAGAGGAGAAAAATTACTGCAGCTGAAATCTATCTGTGATCAGGCTATGCTGAAATGTGCACAAAAAGGGCACAATGTAGAAACTTGTGTAGTTGTGTCTCATCTCTGTAGAGTAACGTCGCCTTTAGGAACGCAATATAGGAGCAACAAGGTATGTAATTGATTCCGGTACATTCCTGACAGATTAGAAAGATGAAAGTGAGGAAAGGTCAAACAAAACAATTCTGCTGATATATGGTGAAATGTACAGTTTTGAAAGAACATTGTCATGGAACCGAAACAGATTAATGGAAAAATCATTGAATATATCAGGAAACAAGACAAATTTTGTTTCCGAGAAACTACATTCGGAATATACATAATTTTGTTGAAAATGACAAGTTTTGCTCGAAGAGCTTAAGAGAAAAAAGGTTTAATCATTTTTTTAATCATAAGAACGTTTGCAAGAACGTCATATTGAAACTGAGTACTTCTTTACTTGATGGTGGAATCTATTGAAGAGAGTCGTCAAAAAATTCATTGATATAATAGTCTGTAGACGTTTTCTCAACAAAAGTGAGTCCGGTTCGGAGACATTTATTTTTCTGGAGAAAACCGATGCCTGGGTTTCTGTGGCATTGAATTGAACCTCTTTACTTTCACTACAATTCGAAATCACTTCTAGAAACCAACATTCTGCTGTCGGTGAAAATGTGCATCTGTAGCAGATGTCCTGGAATCCAAATGGAATGAGGAGTCAAGGGTGGTATCGTCAAAAAAACCATATATGTTGTTTTCAATAAGTCGTTAATATACAATAAAAGGAGAATTGAAGACAATATTGATCCAGGGCACCCTCGTGCCACACACGGTCAAAAGTCTTAGAAATATCAAGCGCAACAGTGTCCAACCGAAAGTTCGGTTTAGTTTTCGGTTTCGGTCGAGTTTCGGCAAAATAACTGGTTTCCGTTTAGTTTCGGTTTCGGCGGCAAACCTGCCAAAACTACGACCGAAACCGAAACCGCATTCGGGATTTCCCGCGCTGTGATCGGTCATGTTCGGCGCGTTGAATGTCATACAAGCGACGAAGACATTTTGCCGCATCCACATGTCTAATCATGTCGTGACTCGTGAATTACTTTGTGATTTACTTTGTTTGTTACATAAATATTAAATACCTATTGTGATAGTAGGTAACAACTTGAATAATTGGGAAAGAAAGTTTTTGGCTTTCTACTACTCCATCTTGATACAAAAAAAGGGATGAGGGAATCTTCCAAAGGAAGGAAGGAAGTAATCAATTTGAAAATAAGTAACTCTATACATGGATGTGTAGATCATGCAAAGAAGTAACTTTCAGACACAAACTGAAAGAAAGTCCTCCTGAAACAGCTACTTTCATATAAACATTGAATTACACGAAAGAAAAAAATTATTTCGAAACAAATACTTCTATATGAACACTGAATTATACAGAAGATACTTTTCTCTACTCAGTTTGTATTTCAAACATTTGTTGTGAAATAAAAATCAGATATCATTCACATGAGTTCTACTTTGAATGACTGATTTGAATGACCTATTTTAAGTATTATTTTTTCTTAAATAAGGGTTTGTTATGTTGATTATAATGTCGAAGACGTTATGATTTAAAGATAAAACAATGAAGAATTACTGATTATAATAAATTTTTCTTCAATTTTCCCCCAAAACATAATCCTTGTAAGGAAATTTCAGTTTCGGTCGAAACTGAGACCGTTGCCGAAATTCGTTTTCGGTTTCGTTTCGGTCGTAAAAACCAGTTTCAGTCGGACACTAGTTATTGACTCTCCATGTTTCTTGATTGCATTACTCCAAATATAGGTGACATGCGATAGAAGGTCGCCTGTTGATCTTTGTTTCCGAAAGCCATATTGATGATCGCTCAAGATGTTAATGTCTTTCAAATATTTAAGAATACGGTGGTTTACGGCTTTCTCCATTATTTTTGATGTCACTTATAGCAAAGCGACTGATCTATAGTTATTTGGAAGATTTTTCTTGCCCTTTTTGGGAATAGTCTGAACACGAGCAATCTTCCAACACGAAGGAAAAAACCCTTTTTTGTGAGAAAATTCGAACTTTGTTGCTATTGGTTAGTTCAATAGGCCTGATTCATGTCTCGCTACGTGCGAGTAGCCAGACTGTATGTCATTTTTGACTTTTTTCAATATTCATTGATAACCATGAATATTTTGGCTGCTACTGATTTGTCGTTATGTTTGTGGAGGTCGAGATCTAACACTCCTTTTTTTGGTTCCAATATAGACCCATCTACGACTAAAATACATCGGGTATACCTTAGGTGTTGCTGAAGATTATCTGGGGATCTATTAGCTGACCTTAGCTGAAGTTGGATGCAGGTTTGACTTCTGAATTAGACTATGACTAGATTAGACTATGATACTCGATTAAAAGACTTGTTGACAGTTACACTGATTATGAATGATGTACTATTGATTTTAAATTCCCTTCAAAAACTTCTCTCGCATGTCATGAAGTATTTTTCTGTTCCTGAAGTAGTAATTTTGATGCTGGTGAGAAATAGCACGTACCTGATTAAAAAGAGACTCTCAAAATAATGAAATGATTCAACAAAGTACCTATAAGCACATATGTATTAGTGGAAACTTGAAAACTCATTGTTTAATTTATCTTCATCGGAAACATAAAAACAACCTGTTATCTCTATCGTAACAAATTACATTCATTTAATACGTATCAAATTTATACTTATCAAAACTTTATAACATAATAATTATAAATCTGTATTTGAATAGGCATCCTGATTTTCATACATGATTTACAAGGTAGTGACTAAAGGGACAATATACAGGGTGGGACACCGAAAAAGAAGCAGATCGAATATCTTCAAAACACATGTCGATTTGTAACCTAATGAGGAAATCTTTCTTTCATAACCTCAATTGTCATACCTCTCCCCCCACCCCTCGGTCACTATCACCCAAACAATTTGAATAGAGAAAGTAGTAAGTGTGACACATCATTAAAAAGGTAATTTCATAAGGAATTCCTCCATGTCAATTTTCGCTACCTAACTTTCTATATTGGAGCCATCTTGCGTATTACATATTATGATACTTAATTTGAAAGCTAATTTGACATAAATTCGTTGATAATTTTGCAATTTGCAATTATGATCTGATTTGATTCAAAATTGATAAGTGGTGATTTTCAGGGCCGGAAGCTATGATTTTTTTGTCAATGCAAAAAACAATATGGTGGCGCAAAGATGGCGGATGAAATTTGTAATTATGGTTGGATTCGAATCAAAATTAGTATATGGGGATTTCAGGGTAGGAAATTATGAATGTTTTGTTGATGCAAAAAGCAAGATGGCGGGAGAATTTTGTAATTATGGTATGATTCGACCTGGCACCGAAAACGGATTCTTCAAAACAAATGTGTTGTGACAATAATGCAAAAACACGTCGATTTCAAATCCAAGGGACAAAACCATTTTTCTAGAGGTGATTTCGAATCGAATGAGCTATCGCTCATATTTTTAAGACCTTTATCTCTATTTTTCATGTTTTTGAACTTGTTGAATAAACTATTCAAGAAAACTCATTTGCCCTCATTTCAATTAAATTAAATAAGTATTCACTGAGGTATTACAGTTTGAAATGGACTCATGAAATGGCACATCTAAAGGGTTGTACAGATTGAACAGGCTTGAAAATCTGTTTAAAATCTGTTTTTCCGTCAACCAGCTGTTGTACCCCTATGAACCACAATCCTCACAAGTCAAAACTTATGCGAGCTAAGGATTAACGAGGTCTTGCCTTCTAACGTGTTATTCCTTTTAACTTGTGATTCCTATATTGAAAATTTCAAATGATGAATATCGAAAAACCATAGAATTAGTGACATTCCTGGATCAGTAGATGAGAATGAAATAAATGAAAAAAAATATTAGAAACACTGAAAAGAATTGATGAAATCCATGAAATTAAAAAGTTACATGATTTTGAAATCGTTAGAAAAGAACCTGCACACTCACAAACATATAATGATTTCAAAGTGGATTCGGATATGTTATCATCAGTTCAAGGTCAGCTGTTACTATTTTTTAGTGTAAAAAATATTTAAAGTAAAAAATGAATAGATCTTTGATGAGAAATTCTATAAATCCTACTCAAAAGTAAATTAAATAACCTCTTTCGATCAGATGGAATTGTTTATTTGAAGACAACACACCTAAACAAGAAGTTTCAAGTTATTAATTCAATCATCCTGACGTAAAACCATTATGAAGCAAATTTTGTCGCAAACAAATCTATTGTTTTCAATATTTGAAATATATGAACTGGACACTTGATCAAACACGATAATTTGAAATAGGCAATATCAAAATTCTCCTCCACTTCAACTTGAGTAGTTTGCGTCCTCAGGAATAGACTCATTTTGCTCAATATACAACAACATCAGATCTCTCTTCTCCTGTAAATCTATTCATATACAGTGTCACCATTAAAGTGCGCACCATATGGGTGCGCGAAAAGTTTCAATGAAGTTTAACTTCGGCACTTGTTTGTGCTTTAAATTTAACTCAAAATGATGCGGCCAACTGCGACCCAATGACGTTCAGTGTTTGTCAAATTCAACTTTTTTATTGAAAAAAATTGAAAGAGTGCATTTCTAGATCGAATTTAACAAAAAGTTACTTGAAAAAGTTGTGTCTACGGTAATTTCATATCCATATGCCAAATTTTATGCAACTAGAATAAAGTTATCATTTTGCTTATTTTTGACAGATATCCCCTTCATTTTAAAAAACAAGTTCAGTTGATTGTCATCAATTCATGTATACATAACAAACTCATCATGGAGTTTAACTTTTCTGATAAATTTTTACTCATACGGACATTTTTAGAGAGAAATTAAAAATTTGCTATAAAAATTTCAACATGACTGGTGCAAAGTTTCAATCACTTGGCTATTCACACTATTCAACAAATTATTGTGGACAGAAATAGAAATGAACGTTCTTGAAAATTTTGTTGTTTCAACTAATCCGACATTCATTACAATGCAATCGTCATATCTTCTTCTAATATTCAATACAACTTTCCTCAGTTGTTCTTTTGTTGCACAATATGCAGATATTCT